TCAATAATGACTCTGAGATCCCTTTCTGCCTCTGTGCTTTCAAGAAGGGAACTCCCCAGCCTGTATGTATGCTGTGGATTCCTTCTCCCAAGGTGCAGCACCCTGCATTTGTCTATGTTGAAACCTATCCTATTCTCGTCTGCCCACTTTTGTAGTCTGTCTAAATCTAGTTGCAGCCTCTCTCTCCCTTCAAGTGTGTCCACCTCACCCCACATCTTAGTGTCATCAGCAAACTTGGACAGTGTGCTTTCCACCCCCTCGTCCAAGTCGCTGATGAAGATGTTAAACAGTGCGGGCCCGAGGACTGAGCCCTGGGGTACCCCACTGCTCACATCTCACCAGGTTGAGTACAACCCATCCACCACTGCTCTCTGGGTGTGACCCATCAGCCAATTTTTTACCCATCCAACTGCAGGCATCAATGCCACAGTCACTTAATTTATTGATGAGGATGGGGTGAGAGACAGTGTCAAAGGCCTTCTTAAAGTCTAGAAAGATTATTCTACAGCGATGCCATCATCCGAGGATTTAGTTACTTGGTCGTAAAAGGCAATCAGGTTGGTCAGGCAGGACCTGCCTTTGGTGAACCCATGCTGATTGCCCCTGAGAAATGATTTCCCCTGTAGGCCCCCCACAGATATGCTCCTTGATGATCCTCTCCAAGAGCTTCCCAAGCACTGAGGAGTAGCTTACAGGCCTATAATTACTTGACAGGCCTATAATTACTTGACAGTTAAGCTAAATTCATTAGTTTACCAGTCACCAGAGCGTCTTTCCGGAAAGGCTAACTAAAATTTTAAAATTTAAAAAAAAAATCTTCCCTTTTTGATGGAAGGAAAGGCCTAAAACACAAATCCAAATTATTTCCCAGGTCACTATTAATACAAAATACTCCATTAAGCAATGATATCATAAGAAATGATAATTACAATTAGAAATAAGTACGTAAATCTGCAAAGGATTTATTAGAAAGGTTTATTAAATTTGCTTAACAAATGAACAAAACTAATGTACTTTGCATAATAAATGTTTAACCATCTTTGTTTTCAGTCAGAGGTTGCTGGCACAAATAATGTCATCCTAATGCCACCAAATCAAGGAACACAGCAGGTAGTAGATAATGACATTTGATTTGCATGGTTTAAATTTCAATATTTTACCATAAGTCTTAACTGTTTCATTTGACATGCTTCTGCTTCTAGGTTTTGATTGAAAGTTTTAGGGGATTGCAAAAAATATGTATTAAAAATCCAGTTTCCGTTAAATACCTTGTTCAGTTTTTGCGTAGCATTTTATGGGGGGCAGGGTAGACGCATCCTATGCTAATTGCATGCCAAATTGTCTTCCCATTCTAAATTGCTTAAGATGGACCAGTGAGTGGTAATGATGGCTGTTGTTTTTGGCTGAGGACAGACTTTCAAAAAGCCTGAGCCTGAATTGATTTGACCTTTGCAGGTTAGATCAACCTGGCTAGGCTGAGCCAGTTTCCAACTGTACAGACACTCCCTCTGGACTGATGAAATGAAGGCACATGCCTGCAGTGGGCTCAGACTAGAAGCTGGGGGGTGCTAGAGCAGCCTTCCCTCCCCTTCCACAGCACTGAGCTGAGCTGGGGCCAGGACCCAGAAGGACACTTGGATTAGGGAGGGGTTCCACCCCCTCACTGCTTCTGACCAGCTCAGCAGGGAGTTGATAACAGAGCTTTTAGCACCAAAAAGCCTCTCTTATTAGTTCAAGCTCTTCTTAAACAACTTTTTCCAAGGAAGGAATGGAGGGACATTACCAGCTAACCTGTTGATTAGCTCCAAAAAGCCCTACGTGGAAACTGTCCTGTCTGCTTTTGTCGTCTCTGCCTTACATAGATATCTCTCAGCAATAGCTAGCATACCACATGCTGCTACATGCTGGCTAAGGTCTGTGGGAGAGGGGAGGGGGGAATCCCTGCTTGAGCAGGGAGTGTTTGTGTGGGGACTCTGGTTCAAGTTAAACCAGGAAGAGGTCTGGGACAGACATTGCATAAACCGGTTTGACCCAAATCAGTTAAGTCTGACACTGCATTCAACCAGGTTTATCTCAAACTGGCTTCAGCCATTTTCAAACTGGTTTATGTGCACTGAACTTCTGTTAATAGTTTCATAGTTGTTAGGGGCTAGAAGGGACCTTACAGAACATTGGGTCCAGCCCCCTGCACTTCGGCAGGAAAGACTGTTGGGATCACACAACCCCAGCAAGATGGGCATCACAACACCTCTTGAATATCACTGGGAAGATGACTATGCCACCTTTGGGGGGAACATATTCCAAGCCTTGGGTGGCATAGAGTTGTGGAATAAAACTGTGGAATAAAGTTTTATTATAAAACTGTGGAATAAACTTCCTCCAGAGGTGGTGCAGTCACCTACCCTGGAGGTTTTCAAGAGGAGACTGGACAGTCACCTTGCTGGGGTCATCTAACCCCAGTTGTCTTCCTGCCTGGAGCAGGGAGGCTGGACCTGATGATCTTCAAGGTCCCTTCCAGCCCCTAACAATCTATGAAACTAAGCCTTTGGCACTTTTAAAAAAGTTTTTCCTTATGTCAAGCCTGAAGCAATCTTCAATCAGTTTGTGCCCATTATTTCTTGTCCTCCCCTGGGGGGTTTTGGTGAATAGATGCTCCCCCAAGCCCTGATGTATGCCCCTGATACACTTGTAGGCTGCCACCAGGTCCCCTCTGAGTCTTCCCTTTTCCAGGCTGAACCTCTCCTCATATGACCTGGCCTCTAATCATGTATGTGGCCCTCCTCTGGACTTTCTCTCAAGCTTCTCCATATCCTTTTTGAAGAGCAGAACCCCAAACTGGATGCAGTACAGGTTTCCCTTGCTTTATATGGGCTCTGTATGTCGAATTTGCTCTTACGTGATGACCCTTTTTATAGCAAAAATTTGTTGTATGTGAGGTAAATTCACTGTTATGTGATCAGTGTGGTAGAAGTCTGCAGTCAGCTGCTTTGTGTGGTGCATTGTGGGAGTGATTTGTGCAGTGCATTGTGGGAAGAGGTACCAAGGGCACCCACTGGGGGGATTAAATGTCTCTACACTAATGTTAGAAGCATGGGGAACAAGCAGGAGGAACTTGCACTCCTGCTTACAAACAGCAACTTTGACCTGGTTGAGTTAACTGAAATCTGGTGGGACCCTACTCATGATTGGGCGGTAGGCATTTGAAGGTTATAGGTTGCACAGATGGGATAGAGTGGTGAAAAAGTGTGTGGTGGGGAGTGTTGCTCTCTATGTTAAGGAGCAATATACATCTTCTATAATCAAGATGGGATCAGAGGAGGGCCAAACTAAGGTACTGTGGGTTAGGATACAAGGAGGACCAGGGAAAAAGGGACTTGGTAGTGGGGGTCTACTATAGACTGCCACACCAGGAGGATGAGCTAGACCTGGAATTCTCTGGGCAGCTCTCAGAGGCCGTATAGTCAAGAAATATAGTTGTCATGGATGACCTAAACAACCTGACATCTGCTGGGAGGATCAGTCAGCCAGAGCTAATCGCTCATGTAGGTTCTTATCCTGCATACAGGACCTCCACCTAATGCAGGAGGTATATCATCCCACTAGGGGGAATGCTTTGCTGGACTTGATGCTGGCTATGGGGGACAACCTGGTGGGGGATCTGCAGGTACAAGGTAACCTAGGGGATAGTGACCATCAAACGACTGAATTCACTATTCGGTGAAGGGTGGGAAAAGTAACCAGCAGGGCAGAAGTGCTAGACTTCAGAAAGGCTGACTTCAGGGTTCTTAGGAGATTAGTTAGTGGGGCATTAAAGCTCAAGTGCATTGATAAAATGGGGGTCCAGAAAGGGTGGTCATTCCTCAAGGAAGCAATCCTTTGGACACAGAAGGAGGCAATCTCGTTGCATAGAAAGGGGGCAAAGGGGCTAAGAAAACCTCCTGGCTAAGCAGGGAAATCCAGGAAAGCCTAAGGGCAAAAAAAGGGGCATATGGGCTGTGGAGACAGGGGGTAGCTACCAAGGAGGAGTTTACCTCCTTGGCTCGCAGTTGTAAGGAATTATTTAGGAAGGTCAAAGCAGCATTAGAATTTAGGCTGGCGACAAAAATTAAGGACAACAAAATGTCCTTCAGATATATAGGGAGCAAAAGGAAGCTGCAGGGCAGCACAGGACCCCTACAGGATAGACAAGGGCAGCTGGTGACAGATAGGAGGGATAAAGCAGAGCTCTTCCATGAGCTTTTTTGCCTCTGTATTCTTGAATTTGGATCTAGACAAGTCTCCCAAATGCATTACTGACAGAAGCAGGAGAAACACCAGCCCACCAACTGTCAGCGCCGACCTAGGAAACAGACACTTGGAGGAGCTGGATGTGTTTGAATCAGTGGGACCGGATGAGCTCCACCCAAGGGTGCTGAAATAATTATCCAGTGTCATAGCAGAGCCACTGGCACAACTGTTTGAGTACTCGTGATGCTCAGGTGAGGTCCCAGAGGACTGGAAAAGGGCCAGTGTGGTTCCTATTTTCATGAAGGGGAGGAAGGAAGATCCAAGTAACTATAGACCAGTTAGTCTCACCTCTATCTTTGGGAAAATCCTTGTAAAAATTATCAAGGATCACATTTGTGGGAGTCTAGCGGGTAATATAATGCTGAAGGGCAACCAGCACAGGATCAAAGCAGGTAGATCCTGCCTGACTAACCTTGTTTCTTTCTATGACCAGGTCACTAAAAGCTTAGATGCAGGTGTTGAGGTAGATGTCATCTACTTGGACTTTAAGAAGGCTTTCGACATAGTATCCCATCCTATTCTTATAAGCAAATTGGACAGCTGTGCCATAGGTGATTACACAATCACGTGGGTGGCAAATTGGCTTAAGAGTCATACCCAGAGAGTGGTGGTGGATGGGTTGGTATTGACCTGGAAAGATGTGGGCAATGGGGTCCCCCAAGGCTTGGTCCTTGGGCCAGTACTGTTCAGCATCTGCATCAGCGACCTAGATGAGAGCATGGAAAGCACTCTGTTCAAGTTTGCAGATGACACCAAACTATGCAGCAAAGCAAACACACTGATGGGAAGAAACTGAATCCAGGCCGATCTGGACAGGTTAGAGAAGTGGACAGAGAACAATAGGATGCAGTTCAAAAAGGACAAGTGCAAGGTGCTGCACCTAGAGGGAGGGAATCACCAGCACACCTATTGGCTAGGGGATGACCTTTTAAGCAGCACAGTGGCAGAAAGAGATCTCAGAGTCGTTGTCAACTCCAAGATGAATATGAGTAATTATTGTGATGAAGCAATTAGCAGAACTAACCGCACTTTGTCATGTGTTAGTAGGTGCATCACGAACAGGTCCAGGGAGGTGATGCTCCCCCTCTATGCGGCACTGGTCAGGCCGCAGCTAGAGTGCTGAGTCCAGTTCTGGGTGCCACAATACAGGAAGTATGTGGACAACCTTGAGCGGGTCCAGAGGAGGGCCACTCATATGTTTAGAGACCTGCAGGGAAGGCATTATGAGGAAAGGCTGAGGGACCTGGACCTTTTTAGCCTCCTCAAGAGAAGGTTGAGGTGGGATCTTGTGGCAGTATATAAATTCACCGGGCAGGAGGGTTTACCAGAGCACCCCTTGGAATAACTAGAAACAACAGCCACAAACTGATGGAGAGTAGATTTGGGCTGGACATGAGGAAGAACTTCTTCATGGTTAGGGTTGCCAGAATCTGGAATGGGCTTCCAAGGGAGGTGCTGCTCTCCCCTACCTTGAGAGTCTTCAAGAGGAGACTGGACAAGCACCTGGCTGGGGTCACATGATCCCAGCACTTTTTCCTGCCAGTGGCAGGGGGTCAGACTCTATGATCCTTTGAGGTCCCTTCTGACCTTTGCATCTTTGAATCTGTGATGCGCACCAAAATATAGTCTACTGTGTGGATCTGTGCCCCTTGTTCATTGTCTGCGACACATGTTTCTATAACTGATATCCCCATTATGGCTTCTAAGCATCCCACTGCCTTATCTCCTACCTCTCTCCCGGGTCCACCCATGAAGCCTTCACCACCTTCTCTTCACATCAACTAAACATTCACCACCACAAATGATCATAGACACGTGCTTAT